TTCTTCGGCAAACGGCAAAGGGAAAACCCAAACATAACATTTATAACTCAAGTTTAAAAGTATTGACGTCATTTATTAACTTGTAGTTATAAAATGAATAATGCGCTTCTGTAAATAATTAATGAAACTGTGAAATAATGGAAAAATAAAAACTGGAAAATAATGCGCTTTTGTTAAGCGCATTATTCAGAACTTACCTGAAACTTAACTAAAATTAAAATAAAGTTATATGTAATACGAACATTTTAAAGTAACTTGAATTAAATTTATTAAATCTTTTTTTACTTTGGAAATTTTATCATAAAAAAAACAAAGCATTTTAAAATTAAAAAATTTTCAAATACTCTGTTTTAAAATTAAATGAAAGAACTTTAATTAAATTTAATAAATTTATTTACTAAAAACTATAATTAATAAAAAATTATTTAAATTTAATAAAATAAATTGAAAATATTTCTTTTTTTAAATTTGATTGATTTTAAACTTATCAAATATAAAACTTAATATTAAATATGATAAAAAGTTTAAAGTTAAAACACTTATTTTTTTTAACTAATTTTTAACAACAACAACAATAAATTATTAAACTTTTATAAACTTTATTAAAAATAATTAAACAAATTTTCCTTTAACAAAAAATCTATTAGTTGCGATTAAATGCTTTAAATTGCGGTTAAATGCTTTTTCTTACGACTTTTTTTTCTTCTGAATAAACGTCACATAAACGATATCAAATGATAATTTAAATATTCTAAAAGATTAAAGTTTTTGCGTAACGCAAAACTGTTGAACGCGTAGGCAAATCACCTTTTCGCAGGTAAAATGCGAGCTGCGTAACGATTCTTAACAAGGCCTGATATATATAATAATTTGTTTATTCAGAAATCAATATTTATAACAATTTTAGTCCATGAAAATTAAAATGTTTACAATATATCGATGAAGAGGTGCAGCACCAGGCACCTCCATGCTGACAAATATCGGACACACGATGTGTTTATATATACTGTTAATGCATGGAATCGACTGTTAATGCATGGAATTGAAAAGGCGTTAACAACGTTTGATGGTAAAGCATTCCATGCGTTGACTAGGCGGTTTGTGAAGAACTTTTCTCTTTCGACACAATTCTTGACTATCGGCTTAGTAAGTAATAAACTATTGCCACGAAGGTTATACTTGGAAAGCGTTTGTGCGTAGACTTGAGGCACAACAAATTTGATTTTCTCAACATCATGCCCAATCTTATATTGTTGAATTAAATAATTTCTAACTCGTCTATCTTCTAGTTTGGTTAATCTAAGTATTGTAAGTCTTTCTTCATATGATTTATGTTTGATGTCTGTGATCAGCTTCCTTGCACGCTTTTGAATGCTTTCGAGAGCCTTGATGTCTCCCTTCAGATGTGGCGACCAGGATTAGATGGCGAATTCAAGGTGTGGTCTAACATAAGATTTGTAAAGGATTTTCTAAAGTATGAGATTTCTGCTTCTGAAGGATTTCTTAAGCCGACCAAGTAGGGGAGAGTGTGTATGAAAGAGCCAGTTTTAAAAAGGAATAAAAAAAAGTCAATTGGGGTTAATTTTTTTTTTTTTTTTTTTTTAAATAGTTACTTTATTGGGTAATATTATAGAATTAAAATAAATTGGATAAAAATGCTAAAAACCTGTCATAAACCTATTTTTAAAAAAGATAGAAAACGGCTCTTTCATAACATTGTGTCAATGAAAGAGCCAATACTGTGCCATGAATAAGCCGTAACTTTTTTTTGAACACTATCAAGTCTTTTTTAAATATTGAACTGTTAAATAGACTTCTAAAAATCAGATTGTACTTAAAGTTTTATAGCTCTATGATAATCAATGATAAAACAAATAATTAAACAGCTTTAATAATAGTTTTCCAAATTATTCAAAATCAAAAACTACAAAATCAAAAACTACAAAAACATCAGAAACATTTTTGGCAGAAGAAGTTAATCACACCTTTGAAGCCACAAGATTCATGTGCCCATCCTTCACATACCTTGCACTGGTACCATTCTTCGTTGGTCTTACCATATTGTCCATTACATGTAATACAATGATTTTTATCATCCCCTTCACAAGCATTCTGTTTTTTTATTTCTGATAAATCTATTTTATCATTGGAGCTTGCATCATTGTGCAATGATATGGTACCACTAGAATCAATGGAATCATACTTTTTTTTTCTATATTTTTTTGTTTTAAACTTCTTAATAAAACTTTTTTTAGGATGTTTTTTTGTTTCTTTCCCTTCAATTTTATTTTTCTCAGGAGTGTCTGTGATTATAGCAGAGGCCATTTTACGATAATGAGAATGAGAATAAGGAAATAACATAATAAATATACATAATAATATAATAAATACATAATAGTAAAATAAAATGTTTCAAACAATAAAAAAAAGTTTAAAAAAATTATTTATACTTTAAAAAAAAAATATGACTTTTTCAGAACTTTGACTTAAAATTTTTATTAAATATTATTTTAAATTCTAACGGAGCTATGTTTTACAACTTCAGGAAAAGTCATTAAAACAACTTATTTAGATAGAATAAGCTCATTGAAGCGTTATGAAAAATATATGAAGTCGTTAAAGCGCGAAACAATTAATTAGTTTAAAAAAAAACTAAATAGAAAAAACCGGCTCATTCATAGCATAAAAAGTCGGCTCTTTCAACAAATTGTATGTTTATAAAAATAAACTCAAATTAAACATTTTTTACCGAAACTTTAATCTAATATTTTTTGTGTAAATGAATGGCAGATATATATATAACAACGAGGCATATATCTTTTATCAAATAATAAAATACACTTTATCTTAAAAACAAATAAGTAAACCCCCAAAAAATTACTTTTTGTGTTCAAAATATTTAGTGCAGCCAAACGGTGCTATTTATTTTAGTAGAACTATAAATTTTTTGTGGGTGACTTCAGTGTTGACACACAATGAGTAAAAAAAAATTATGGTTGGGTGCCAGGAAGTTAGAAATAACGGCATTGGCTCTTTCAAAACCTGGCTCTTTCATACACACTCTCCCCTACCTGGTTTGCTCTTGCAGCTGCTGCTTTAACTTGATGCTTAATTTTTAAGTCTTCTGAAATAGGAACACCTAGATCTCGTTCGACTAAAGTCGTATACAGTTCTTTTCTTATTCCTATCTGATCAGTCATTGTGTAGAGGTAGACTGATTAGTTGGAGCGACCTACGTGCATGCATTTGCATTTGTCCAAATTAAATATAATATAATATATATATATATATATATATATATATATATATATATATATATATATATATATATATATATATATATATATATATATATATATATATATTTTATATAGTTTTTACATAGTCCTGTTGTAAAGTGTTAAAAAAAGTTTCTGTGCTACATTTTTATGTAACTATTACTTTTAAGTTTAACTTAAAGACAATATTAACCATTATGTAGAATATTATTTATAAAAACAATGTATAAAAAAAGAATATGTTTATTAAATTAATGCGTTACGACCGTCACCAAAAAAATTCAAGAAGTTTTTTCTAGGCTTTATATTAGACTTTATAAAGCTAAAAATATAGTAAAAGTAAACATACTGATATAAATTTTATCATTGTTTTAAATTTTTTTTAAAAAGAACTTAAGATGATAGTATTAAAATCACGCTATGTTTGTTTTTCCATATGGGCTTCTTGACATCTATATAAAAAGTTTCAACGCGAATGATTTTATTATTGAAACCAAATTAAAAATCATTTGCAGTTTGTTTACTGTTCATTTATTTATATTGTTCATTTATTTGTACTGTTCATTTATTTGTAGGGTTCCTTTATTTATACTGTTCATTAATTTGTACTGTTCATTTATTTGTACTGTTCATTTATTTGTATTGCTCATTTTTGTTCCTTTGTTAACTGCTAAAATTGATTTGGTCTCAATCATAAACATTTGGCTTTGCATTATTGCAACTATCACGCTTTGTTTTTTCTTCTAATTAACTATAATAATAACTTTAATTGCATTATTGATATTTTTTATATGAAATAATCTTAATTATTATCTAGCTATTTAGCTGTGAGTTTAGTTTCTATAACTTTACAATTTACAGCCCCTCTCATTTCTTCCTCATTTTTATACTTTTAACTCTGTATTTTTTTAATTTTACACAAAACTTTTGCTTTTTACTAAACATCAAAGGTTTTTCATCTCTTATATATTTTTGTTTACAACATTTGCATTTTTATATCATTTTATGCCAATGTTTGTTTTGTTCTCTAAACTATTTATTTTCTACTTTTATTTATCACTGTTATTTATTTTTCAAAATGGTTTCAAGATTTGTTTGTCGTGAATTTAGTTGCATTTTAATTGTTATTATAGTTGGATATCTGTGTTACAATGTTAGGGTTAATAAAGACTTTGTAATTTTTTGTTTGACTTTCTGGTTAGATGCATTTTTATTTTTGTCTTTGGATTACTAATATTTAAGTACCTACTTTAGTGTTTTTATTTTTTAATTTTTTGTTAGCTTGTTATAATATACATATATATATATATATATATATATATATATATATATATATATATATATATATATATATATATATATATATATATATATATATGTATATATATACATATATATATATAGGTGTATATATATACATATATATATATATATATATATATATATATATATATATATATATATATATATATATATATATATATATATATATATATATATGTATATCTATATATATATATATATATATTTATATATATATATATATATATATATAATATATATATATATATATATATATATATATATATATATATATATATATATATGTATATAAATTTTTAGAAAAGGCCGGATTTCCGAATCTAATAATGAAGAAAATAAAAAAAGTTCTCGACATGATAGAGATGATAAAAAGGACTCGGACGATTATGACCAAAGAAGGTAAACAGCAAGGTTTTGATATATACTAAAATTTAATTCATATAACTAATATACAGGCTTGGACAGGAATGTTGTTCAATTAAGCGCTATTGTTGACCACGCAAATGGTTTTATCTTTTGACAACTTAACCACGATCTTTTATATGTTTTGATGATTTAAACATTTCAAAAATGTGTTGAATGTAGAATTGCTAAGCTAACCTTAAACTAGGAAAAAAGTTTGAAAAAATCTATCGAAAAAATAATGATTTTTATGTGTTTTTCTATTTTTGCTTTTATTTAAAGTTTCATGTCTTTTGGCCATTTTTAATCTTCAAATCTATATATGCTTATATATATATATACATATATATATATATATATATATATATATATATATATATATATATATATATATATATATATATATATATATATATATATATATATATATATATATATATATATATATATATATATATATTAACGAAGAATATTAAAATGCAGGTACAAGAATAAATTCTTTGTTAATATATATATATATATATATATATTTGTGTGTGTGTATATATATTTGTGTGTGTGTATATATATATATATATATATATATATATATATATATATATATATATATATATAATATATATATATATATATATATACTCCTGGTTCGACATACACATGTCGACCTAATCAAATTGCTACATTGGATCAACCTTAGGTCGGCATTTTTCACGGGTTGTTGCAACCTAAAGTTCTTCTTGTTTGATAAATACAAACAAATAATAAATGAGTTGGCTTGCGTAATATATTTTGTATATATCGTTATATGTCACATATATTATGTGGAGTATATTTTTGAAGGAAGTTATGTTTTTACAGTTTTGTTAAATAAATTGTGATAACAAACATAAAATTTCTGAATCATTTTAGTTTTTGAATTTTTTATCATATTTTGTAATTCTATTTTATTTTACTTTAGCATTTGCTTTAAGGTTAAATTCATTAACTGACATTTTGTCAAGATGTGACATAATGTCTATTAAATAATTATTATTTATTAATTATAAAATATCTATTGACAATACTTGATCTAATTCAATGTGATTTTTGTGACTCCAGTAAAAACATCATTACATTTTTATTACAATTATTACATTAGACACTTTAAAGAAAGTAATGTTTACACTGGATGGTTCAATCTCATTTAGCATTTCTATTACAAAAAGAGCAACTATAAACACCGAATAATATACTTATAAAGAAAAAAAGATTTATATCATATTTTTAAGAATAATAAATGTCTATAAAATATTTTAAAAATTAACAGGAAAACCCTGACAAGTACAATAATTAAATGATAAGATCATTATAAATAGTTAGATAATCATTAAATCAGTCACAATAGTGACTATATTATAAGTTTAAACATTTATTTTAAGTTATAATTAATAATATTGCATTTATTTAAATTTCACATGACATCTTTAAAAAGTTCAATTATACTTAATCATATAAAAAAACTTCTTTTAAGGACTTAACTTTTTATATTATGATTTTAAGTTATTAAATGATTTTTTATTTACAGAATTACCAAGTTACCTTATAGGATACTTGGGGATACCTGATGAATAGGTTATCAATACTTTTTAACATCATATCAAAAAATAAGTTAACAAAAATAAAAATAAATTGATCCGCATTAGAACAAAGTAAAAGTTTGTAAAAACTAAATAAAAGATAGGAAAAAGAAAAATAAGATGTTCAGATAAATATTTGACTAAATTCATATTTAGTTGATTTGTCTGAAATCCACAATCAGTTAAAATAACTATTTAATTTTTCATTAGAAAGTTGATTAATTTTATTTTTTGACTAATGAAACTGTTATTGATTTAGTTGAAGTTGAGAATGACACTAGTTAAATCCATAAAAGCAGTTTTTTTTAGGTTTTACAACCTCAATCTAAATTTGAGGCTCTAAAACTCCAGGGATTTGGAACTTTGGAGAATCGGTTCTAAAGACCCTTTTTTTTAAAAAGAACTAATTAAAATTAAAAGATCTAATTAAAACGTAAAAAAACGCAACCAATCTTTCTACACCTTTTTTTTTGTGTGGCATATATGTGATAATTGTTATATTATTATTTTTTATTATTATAATAGTTATTAATTAATATTATAATAATACCATTAATTATCTTTATTAAATTTTACATTTGTTAAATATTATTATTTTGTGTATGCATTTTGTTTTGTAGTTATTGTGTTACTCTTTTCGTTTGTTATTATTTGTGCTAATTATTTTTATTGTTTTTTTCTATTTTCTCTATTTTATAAAATTTTCTACACCTTTTTTTTTTTTATTTTGAAAAAAATAACTAAAGTTTGTCCTTATTTTTTAATTTAATTTTGTTTTGTTGAAGTATTTGCATTTGCCTTTTCGTTTTGTAGTTTTTGTGTTTCATCTTGTAGTTGTTGTGTTTTGCTTTTTCGTTTGTGTAAGGTTTGTTTTTTATTTGTTTTGTTTTTATTTGTATTTTTATTTTTGTTTGCTGTTATTATTGAGTGTTTTCATATTTTTTGTCTTATTATTTAACTTATTTTAGCTTTATCGCTGTTATTATTTTATTTATTTTTTTAGCGATTTTCAGTTCATATTTGTTATTTTTATTATTATTTTATTATTATACTAATTGTTATAATTAATTGATGTTACTCATTTTGATCATGAGTGACACTCTTGTCATTATATTATTTGTATTATTATAGATAATATTATTATTTTTAATTACTATTATTACAATTATTTGGTGTCACTCCTTTGATCAGGCTTCTGTTTGAGTGACACCTTCTTTTTCAAATAATTATTTATATTTATTCTTATTAGTTATATTTTATTATAATTATACTGTTTGTATCATTATAGATAATATTATTTTTAATTGTTATTGTTATAATTATTTGGTGTCACTCCTTTGATCAGGCTTCTGTTTGAGTGATACCTTCCTTTTCAAATAATTATTTTTATTTATTCTTATTAGTTATGTTTTATTATAATTATATTGTTTGTATTATTATAGAAAAATAATATTATTATTATTGTTATTATATGATTATATGTAAATTTTGAAAAGGAAAATGAATATCTTGTTGTTGTTGTTTTGTAAAACCGGGTTTGAAAACCTTGGGGTTTCCACTAATTATCTGAATTACTATTTGTTATTAATAGTTAATATTTCAAGTATATATGAAAAAATTTAAAATATAAAGAAATAGTAAGTAGTAACAAGTGACAATATTCTGCTACAAATTAATTTAGTGTAATAAAATATGTTTTTTATATAAACAAAAGTTTTATAAAAGTATAAGCTGCATTTATGTTGTTAAAAAAACAATAACCAAACATTTTTGATTAGTACTTGACATAATAAGCAAACATAAATTTTATGAATGTATGTAATACATACATACATTCATACTTTTTTTTTTAAATATAAAGCCCCAGTTTAAAAAGAGGGTTTAGACTTCCTAGGTTTTTAAATCCCTAAAAAAAGGGGCTCTAAAAATATGTTTTAGAACTTTTTTGAAAAAAAGAACCTGTGGAGTTCTAGAACCCTTCAAATTATGGTTCTGAAAAAGTTTTAAGTTCAAAAAGGGTTCTAGAACCTCTTTCAAGCTTCAGGTACAAGAATTTCGGGGTTTTGAGGGGTTTCTGGTTTGAAACCCCTTTAGGGTTCTGATCTCTATTTTTTATTTAAGTATACATTTTATATACAAATGTTAAGTAAATCATTTTTATAGATTATAAAAATTTAAAAAGTCTTTAAAAAAATACGCAAAAATATTCTTGTTTGTTTTTAGTTGTTTCAATATCAGATTGTATTAGAATTACACTATACTTTTTTAATTTAAACATACTATTTGGATTTAAATGAGATTCATTCATAATCATCATAAGTGATGATGATTCATGTTTCAGTATAAATACAAATCAATATAAATTAAATTACTTTTAACAAATTTTTATAACTTTTTTTAGTTTAAGTATTATTATATTAAATATATCTGCAAAATGTTATTAAATGCATTTTAAAAAAAACTAATTTTTTTCAGTTTCTTATGTTTATTAAGAATATATGTATCATATTTAAGTTTTTGCTAACTTTTTTATCGGTTCCTTTTACTGTTTTTTTATTATTTATTTTTTAATTTACTTATGATTTGATGTCTTATGTTTGAGGAAATGTCTAAATTCTAAGGGATTTTTATCATAATTTATTTCCTCCATCATGATGGATTCTAAACTATTAAAGTGCATGTTTTTTATAAAACAATGATGCTTAGAATATTAAAATGAATGATATTTATGTTCATAATGACTTTCTATAGTACCAATTTTTGTTTTCTAAATACTAGTATCAATACCGCAATGTTTTTTTAATTATTACCTGGTGTCATTCTACATTGAAAAACACAATTAGTCAATAAATATAGACTAATATATTACTAATATATAAGTCGTTTGTTTATAAACTAATTTTTGTGTTTCCTAAATATTTGTAGCATTTAATTTATTCGCTGCTTTATTTTTTGAATTCTTTATCAAAAAAAGCACAAAATCAATATTCTAAATATGTTAAGAAAGATAGAAAAATTATATAACATCTTATAAAAATACTTGTCTGAATAAAAGAATAATTGCAATGGATTAAATTATCAAAACATTTTTTATATTAACGAATAATAACATAATGAAATTTAGAGAATAAATAAACAATATTTCATAAACAATAAATAAAAAATATTTATTAAACACAGGTTAGTTTAAATTAAATATTTACAAGCCATTTTCTGAGAAAATCAGGCAATGCTCATAAGTGATATCTTTCAATCACGCTCAATTTTTTGTATAATAATGCTGATAGGGCAAAAAAGAAGCCTGTAAATTTTTTTCTAAATATTTTTAGTTCCTGAGTTATGGTCGGTCAAACTTTTTTCCTTTTAATACTATTTTTGGAC